GCGACAACGCACGCAGAGGCCCCTCGCCGCGCCTCCCGCCCAGGCCGCCCGTGGTCCGGCCCCTCACTCACCCAGAGCTCGGTGCCCCAGCTCATGATGCAGGGACCGGGAAAGGGCCCCCGACCCCCTTCGCCGGCGATCGCTGAGCCCCACCGGACACTGCGAATGCGGGAAGCCCGCCGCCCGCCGTTTCCTCCGGCCCGCGCCTCCTCCAGCCCAGCTCTACACCTCTCGTCTCTCCGCGCGGAGCAAAATGGCCCGAGGAAGCAGCAGCAGCGACCGCCGCAGCGCGCCCGCCCCGCAACGGAGCCGAGGGGCGGGGTGGGGCGGGACGAAAGGCGGGGCGGGGCGGGGCCGGACTGACAGCTCGAGCAGACCGTCCCGCCCCCAGACTCCCTTTGGCCCGGTTGCCCGGGGGTCCGGAAGGACGCGAGGCCTTCGGGACCTCTCCGTGTCGTCGGTTTTCGGTAGCTAGTGCGCCCTACGCTCTCGGGACCCGCGTTCACTGCCTGCAGACTGGCCCGTTCGTGATCACGACGCTGCATCGCGATCTGCCCTCCACCCACCGCGCTGAGCACAGCTTTGCGTTTCAGAACTTTCGCCCAGCGGCTACCGGCGCCCACCTTAGAGGCTCCCAGAGCGGTTTCTCCCACCCTTCAGCCACCGTGGAGGCTAATGAGCCGGTCAGCATGCTTGGGAGTGGGGCCTTGAACCGTGACGTCGTGCATTGTGTACACTGGGACTTTGAGGCAAATAGAGACCGGGCAGATTCAGGAAACCAGGGAAGGAACTTGAGGATGAGCACCCAAAGAATTATAATCTATAGAACAAGCCCTTTCCTACTTGTTCAGTCAGGAATCTCAGTAATGAAATCCTCTTACCCCGCTGATGGATCGCAGAATCTCTAGGGCCCACTGAGAACTTGGAGGGTTCAAATCCAGCCTCCAAGCCGGTGATCTTGGGCGGATTTCATCTCTAGTAGGAGAGCCCCAGCTGCCAAAGAGAGGCAGTGTTTGCCAGTTGCCCGAGGCCTAGTGGTGTGAACCAAGGTGAACTGGCCAGTGGGTCGCTGGTGCAGAATTAGGACCATTAACTCTTCCAAAACTCCACAGAATGTCATTTCTCAGTAGCTGTGGAGAATCTGGGGTTTTCAACTATTTTCTCAGAATCCCTCAGACTGTCCCCACAACTTTTCTTTCATTGAATGCTACTGCTGAGACGTTTTCTCCAGGGCCATGACCTCCAGAACAGGTCCCTCTTCTAAACGGTTTCTCCACTCCCTGCTCTCTTCAACCTGTTGGAAGATTCTCCTTGAAGGGTGAATCTCAGCCTAGTGTGTGGACTGCAAGCCCGCACTTGTAGTCTCAGCACTTTTGAGGCAGAAGCAGGAAGAGGCCAACCTGAGCCACCTGTAGTAAGTACCAAGCAGGCTGACCTGGACTTCAAAGTGAAACCTTGACAAAAATAAATAAGTAAATAAAACAATAGACAGAGAACAGTAAGGGTGTGGTGGGAGGCACAGGCAGGTGGAGTCAAAGGCCTGGGTTACACAGTGAGTTCCAGGCCAAGAGCTACATAGTGAGACTCTGTTTAACAACAACAACAACAAAAAACCAAAATCAAACACCAAATAATAATACTTTGTTTAAAAAGTAAAAGGAAGGAAAGAAAAAGGAAGGAGGGCTGGAGCGCAGAACATTGCCTCAAACCTCAAGACCTCCTACTTCCTTTGTGGGGTAGTTACATTGAAACCATCAAAACTGTTTGGGGCTCTTTTGTCAGTTACAAGCTCCTCCCCCATCCTTTGTGTCTTTAAATATTTTGTCCCCACATTTTCTAAGTCTGAGCTGGATATGTAAGAGTCAGGATGGCCAGCTAGGGTGACTTAGAGGACTTCAAAATGTCAGCAATGTTAATTAACTAGACCACAGGGTTGTTTTGTTGTTGTGCTTCAGTTTTTGGTGTGTACCGGTGTTTTGTCTTCGTGCATGTCAGTGTACCGCATTCAAGTCTGCTGCCCTTGGAGGCCAGAGAGGGTGCTGGATCCCTTGGAGCTGAACTACAGGCAGGTTGCGAGCCATCCATCGTGTGGGTGCTGAGAATCAAACCAGTGCTCTGAGCCACACTGCGCCCTCTTCCCAGGCCCAGCAATGACTCAGTTATTAGCTACTCGAAGTTGGAAATGGCCAGTTACTTAGCAGGACCCTGCCTGCGTCATCATCGTCACCTGTGCTGCTGTTTGTTTGTTGTTTCCTTCTTAGTCCACAAAATGATCTAATCTTGACTTCAGACAACTAGAATGGCCACTTGCAAAAGATAGTGTAGCCGGGGGCAGAACAACCTGTGCCCTACAGAGAAAGAAGCAGAAGGAACTGCAGAAGAGAGAGGCGCCTAAACTGTTAGGGAACCCTTGAAAGCCACAGGAGGTTCAGGAGCCAAGTTGACTAGGCCCACTTAGCGCCTCTCACTGTTTTTTGTTTTGTTTTGTTTTTTAAGTCTGCAGAGCAACTAGAAAATGTTTAGAGTCAAAAGCTTCAGAAATTGGAAGAGAAATGCGGTATTGACCTTTTAGCAGGGGTGTTCTCGCCCTATGCAAATGCTCACCCAGCTGCACACCTGCTCCAGCTTGACTCACAAAGCTGTGGTCTGTGCCTTCGAATGATCTGATGGCATGGAAGGGTTAACCCTAAAGGAAGGCATCTGACGAACACAGAACACAGCACAGACTCAGCCTACATAAGCTCTTGGGCTGTTCTTTTCTTTTTTTCTTTTTTCTTTTCTTTTCTTTTTCTTTTTTTTGAGACAGGTTTTCTCTGTAGCTTTGGAGCTTGTCCTGGAACTAGCTCTGTAGACCAGACTGGCTTTGAACTCAGAGATCCACCTGTCTCTGCCTCCTGAGTGCTGAGATTAAAGGAACGTGCCATCCCTATCCAGCGGTTTGCTTTCTTTTTAAAAAGTTTTTATATTTATATATGTACTATGTGTGTGTGTGAGAGTACACATACAGCACACACGTAGCGGTCAGAGAACAACTTGTGGGAGTTGTTTTCTCCTTCACCATGTGGTTCCTGGGAATTGACTTTAGGTCATCAGGTTTGATGGCTAGTGCCTTTACTGGCTAAGCCATCTTCTGAGCCCTTATTTTCTGAGACAAGGGTTTATTCTGTAGCCCAGGCTGGCCCACAACTTTGGTGGGTGATCCTCTTGCTTCCGTAGGTACTTCTGAGTAGTCAGAGGCAAATCTATCGGGGATTTGTACAGTGCTAACCCTGCGTGGAATTATAATGAACATCTCATTTGGGGTTTATAGGTAGGTAGGTACCTGTTCAGTGGCAGATAGGGTTTTATAATTAATTGTTGGGGATCCCAGAGTTCAGTCTTTACTAGGCATGTGACCTCTGGCAACCTACACCATCTGAGCTTCAGTTTCCTCATTCACAAAAAGGGGGCTTCACAGACTCCCAGGAGGCTGAAACGCTGGGCAAACACACACTTTACTGCGGTTCAGACATGCAGAGCTTAGGGAGGGCAGCTCAGAGCTTCCCTTCTCCAAACCTCAGTTTCCTCTCTTACAATGGAACAATGACCTCATGGCTTCTTCAATACTAAAAGAAAATAACTGCAAAGTGTTGAGCAAAGAGGGCACAGTACAAGCTTCCTTTCCTTTTCCTGTGTGCCACAGCAAGAAAGCAATGCCTTACAAACCGCTGCTAGAGCTAGACCCTTGGGCTAGAACGGCAGGGCAAGATGACTGGTTGTCTACTGCTAGCTTCCTAATGACGCCCCCGTCAATGGTTTCTATCTGAGTGTAGCTTAAAATTTCCCATTGCTTTACTTACAATGGAGTTAAGTCTCAACAAACTCCTTTTCTATTTTGTGCAGCCCTGGCTGTCCTGGACCTCACTCTGTAGACCAGGCTGGTCTTGAACTCACAGAAATCTGCCTGCCTCTGCCTCTTGAGTGCTGGGAGGGGTGTGCTATCAAATCTGGCTTACTGTTTTTTGTTTTGTTTTAAGACAGGGTCCCACGTAGTCTAGGCAAACTTCAAACTCACTATGTAGCCAAGGCTGGCTTTGAAATGATCTGAGTACAAAACAAAGCATTTAATATTCCAGGAAACCCACAACTGTTGGTTGAGTCATGGTAAACTGAGAACTGGCTGTTCATACTTGGGACCCCAGAAGCAGCCAAGCGGAAGAACTAGGAACAGGATAAAAAAGGATAAAAGCAGGAACTTTCTAGTGAGTGTAATCTTAAAACTGCAACTAGACTTTAATACCAACGACTGAGTTCTCTGAAGGTCTGTAAAGACAGTATAAACATGAACCATGGGCTGCCTGGAGCTGGGCAGATTATATTCAGTGTCCCCAGGTTGAAAAGTGATTCTCAAGTTCATTTCCATCACACGGAAGGTGTGATGGGGCCACTGGACTGATGTCTTCCAGTTGCCAAAAAGATGCTCTCCAAGTTTTCTTCTGCGTCTCACGAGATGCCCGAAGTTCTCCACCACAATGGCCAACAGATGCTACCAGGTCCTGAGAAGCCTCCGATTCCTTACGGTGTTAGCTTTGGGGTCTGAAAGAACTCTTCTGAAAAGACAAACAGAACTGTCGGACAGCTCAGAAGGTAAACGAGCTGCCAAAAACCTGCCGACTTGAGTTCTGTCCTGGTAACTAATGGTGGAAAGAGAAGACTTTTGAATATCATCTTCTGACCTCCACATATTCTCTATGTCATGTGCCCCTCCCCAATACACACATAAATAAATGTAATAAAAACTTTGGTAAAAGGAAAAACAAACAGCAGTTATGTTTTATTTTCTCCAACTGTCCGAGCCCAGGCGAAATATTATTAATAGCACTGTATCTAAACTACAAGTTTGAATTCAAACACGAATTTCCTACCAGTGTCAACTTTGAATTGAGCCTGCAAACCATAAGGGCTCACAGTTAAGAGAGCGAGGCTCAAAGCCAGGGTTAAGGAGCGCTGCCCTTCTTGATCTCAGGCTTTTCCAGTAGGTGCTTTGGTTTAATGCCCCCTGGAAGGCGCTGCCAGGGAGAAGCAGGCATAACTTGTTTTGTTACTCAACAAGATGTGCTGGTCACAGCATCCTGGTTACACAAATGACCTTTTCCGGAAAGTAGGAAGTCATGTGTTATACCTTTCTGGGACCCAGCATTGGAAGAACATTCTGCACTGACTCCTGGTAACAGGTTTTCTAAGTCTTTGTAAGGGGTCTTCTATGCTCCTTCCTCTGGATTTCAAAATAACCATTGAGTTCACAGGTTCCCCAAACACACAAAGACAGACATTCCCATAAACCACTGAACAGACTGGACTGGTGTGACCTTGTGGAAGTTTTGTCATAATTCCCAAGCTCAAAAATGAAGAAATCCTAAAGACTTTAAAGTTTGGCAAAAGTGTCACCATCACAAGACAGAATTCTTCTTTGGAACAGATACTTTGTCACACTAAGAGGAACTGAAGGTACCTGGACATTCTGTTTTCAGATTAGTCAGATTGAAAGACAGACCTTCTAAAAAGTGGTACTGAACTTTATTATTTATTGGTCTTTATTATTTTTACTTATGTGTGTACATGCATATATGTGTGTGAGGTGCTATGGAGGCCAGAGGAAGAAATTGAATCCTCTGGAGCTGGACTGACAGGTGGCTGTGAGCTTCCTGATATGGGTGCTAGGAACTGAACTTGGGTCCGCTGGACAAAAAGTAAGTGCTCTTAACCACCATCTCCATCTTATTATTATTATTTCGAGACAGGGTCTCATAGAGGCCAGAAGAGGGCACTGGATCCCCTGGAACTGGGATTATAGGTGGCTGTCAGTCACTATATCGGTGCTGGGAACCAACTCCAGTCCTCTACAAGATTAGTAAGTGCTTTTTTTTGGGGGGAGGGGCGGTTCTCTCTGTAGCTTTGGCACCTGTCCTGGAACTAGTTCTTTTTGTTTTGGTTTGGTTTGGTTTTGGTTTTTTGAGACAGGGTTTTTCTGTAGCTTTGGAGCCTGTCCTGGAACTAGACCAGGCTGGCCTCGAACTCACAGAGATCCCCCTGCCTCCTGAGTGCTGGGATTAAAGGCGTGCGCCACCACCACCCAGCTGGAACTAGTTCTTATAAACCAGGCTGGTCTCAAACTCACAGAGATCCACCTGTCTCTGCCTCCTGAGTGATCCTCAGGAGTGCTGGGATTAAAGTCGTGTGCCACTACCTCCCGGCCAGTAAGTGCTCTTAAGTGCTGAGCATCTCTCTAGTCCAGATTATCATTATCATCAATTAGACACTGAACTTTAAAAAGTAAAAACTAGGATGGGACTACAGACCAGTGGACGAGGGCTTGTCTAGCACGTATGAAGTCTCAGTACTACAACATCAGAAAGGAAAAACTCACTGAAAATTTCATCTGTTTAACATTTTTCTTAAGTAAAAATCACTTAAGTAGGGGCTGGAGAAATGGCTCAATTAAGAGCACAGACTGCCCATCCATACAACCCAGTTTCAGTTCCCAGCAGCCACACAGTAGCCAACACCCATCTGTAATTCCAGCTACAGAGGATCTGATGCTGTCTTTTGGCCTCTGCAGGCTCCTGCATGCATATGGCATATACACATACACTCAGGTATACATGCATACACATAAACATTTACATTTTTTCCTTAACTGTCTTTAGCCTTTCTTCCTGCTCCCCAAAACAAAGTATCAGATTTCTCACATTTTTATTCTCTTTTTCAGGATTTTTAAAATGTCCTGGTGTGGAGAACTGAATTCAAGATCACATTCATGCACATGCTGGGCTACTAAGCTCCATCCCCAACAGGTGACTTTTATCTCAGACTTTCTGTCCTGTCCTGGAGTCAAAGCTATGTTACCATGCCAGCTTCCTAACTTTTTTTAAAATACAAAATCACAAAAACCAGAAAGCTGAGGCTGGAGGGGCAGCTCAGCAGTAGGCATGCGCACTGCTCTTGTGGAGGATCTGAACTGGGTTCCCAGCACCCATATCATACAGCTCAATTCCACCTTCCAGCTCCAGGGGTGCTGAAACCCTCTTTGGGCCTCCAGGAAACCTGTGTTCACATGCACTCCCCCACATACACAAAGTAAGAATAGAATAATCACTCTTTTTTAAAAAAAAAATTACAAAGCTGTTCATAGTATCGGGCAAGAAGCCCAGATCCACTTCTGTTGCAATTGAAGTTTCAGTCCTGGTTTTACAGATGCCCTGCTAAAACTACTCAAAAGGCCGTGTGACCTTTGGAAAGTCACATTTGGAAAGTAATGTTCCCTGGCACTGTTCACACCTGGGAAAGAAAGCGGACAGACCTGGGTTCCCTACGGAGCCATCCAGTCTAACACAGCATGCAGTGGTCTTTCTCTACAGCAGGCAGGACAGAGGATTTGCTCTGGGCTTTGTGAGTAGGGTGGGTATGAGCCTGCTGGCAGGTCATTTCTGCAGGAACAGACTGCCTCTGAGTTAGTTCACCCAACCAAATCTCATCTGAGAAAAGAAAATGTGCACCTTGTCAGACTCTCCTGGTTTTAGACGACATAACATATGTATAGATCACATAAGTTCACTCAGAAAACAATTTCCCATCTCTCTGCAAAGAGCTGAAAAAGATTAATTCTAGAGTTTCCTGCTCTAGGTTTCATTATCTGTAAAGGGGTGGGGTCAGATGAAAATCCTGCTCAAACATGGAAGATTGCATATTCAAAAGAGATGGCCCAAGACCCAAGGGAAGAGAAGGACAGCCACCAACCAGTAGTTATTACCTTTCCCTCCCTGAAACTTACAGGTATTTTAAGATAAACTACAACTCTGTGTCTCCACCTACATGCTCTACTTTTGCCTTTGAAGAGGGTGTGACTGAGCTTGCACTGGTTTTTAGTCAGGGAAGGATTAGATTTGTCAGTTCTGAAGATTGCACACAGGGAGACTGAGCCCCTTCTCACTTTCAGTTCTATACGTCTATATTTTCCCAAGTGATTTGTGATTTTTTTTATTTCTTCCTTCCTTCCTTTCTTTTTTCTTTTCTTTCTTTTTTTTTTTTTTGAGACAGGGTTTCCTGTGTATTTCTGGCTGGCCTTGAACTCAGAGATTCTCAAAGGTGTGAGTTAACACCACAAGCCACAAGTGATTTTTTTTTTCTTTTCTTTCCTTTGTTTTTTTTTTTTTTGAGATAGGATTTCACCGTAGTTTTTAGAGCCTGTCCTGGAACTAGCTCTTGTAGACCAGGCTGGCCTCGAACTCACAGAGATACGCCTGCCTCTGCCTCCCGAGTGCTAGGATTAAAGGCATCACCGCCCAGTTTTTTTTTTTTTTTTGATTTTTCGAGACAGGGTTTCTCTGTGTAAGAGCCATGACTGCTCTGGAACTTGCTCTGTAGACCAGGCTGGCCTAGAACTTACAGAGATCCGCCTGTCTCTGCCTCCCAACTGCTGCCACCATGGCCCAGCTTCCAAATGAATTTTTAAATTGACTGTTTTGCATTACGTTGGGCTTGGAGAGATGGCTCAGCAGGATCTGACACTAGCTTCTGGCACCTTCTACCCTCAGGTACCTGAACATGGCACACATACATATATAAAAATGAACAAACAAAAATTATATATTTCATTCCTATTTCCAGTTAAAAGTTTTAGGAATCTGATTCTGTCATAGGTGTCAACACACCTATACATTGGTGGCTGCCTGGTAGAGGGATTCCTAGTCATTTTTATTATAGCCTGTTTTGTTTAAATAAATAGCACACACACAGACACACCACATGAGCATACATTACTTGTGTGTCCAGTTAAAAACAAGGACCTAAAGCCAGGCAGTGGTGGTACATGTCTTTAATCCCAGCACTCGGGAGGCAGAGGGAGGTGGGTCTCTGTCAGTTCGAGGCCAGCCTAGTCTATAAAGCAAGTTCCAGGACAGCAAGAGCTGTTACACAGAGAAACTGTTTTGAAAAGCTGGGGGTTGGGGGTGTTTAAAAAGTAAGCACACTTGACAATCAGCACTTTTAATATACTTGTTTCCTGTAACTCCTTGATAAACAATGCTATCAGGGACCTCCTACCAAGTCCTCAAGTACCAAGGACCATAAGCAAGGTTTCCACAGGGACGAAAATAGAAGACATTACAGCTCAGACTCTAGTGGTGGCATGAAATCACATGAGCAAAATGATCATCAGTGAAAAATTTCCATGTGATCCCCGGCTCAGCCTGAACCAAATGACCATTCTCAGAACTTAGATATAGCAGGGGAGAAGTATGACACCTACTTCTTATCTGATTAGATTGTCCCGAAGATTAAATGCCATCTTAAAAAAAAAAAGCCTAGATGATTGCTTCATATATCCTCAATAAATCCTGTTACTGCAACTATTTCGCCTGCGGTTTGTGGTAAAGGGCTTAGGATAATAATAAATCAAGCGGTCTAAGACAAGCCAGCAATTTCTAAGTTATTACCACCGACGACAGGCCAGTCCACAGCCAGGGAGTGTGTGGCAGCCACTGCGGGTTCCAGCCTTTGGTCCAGGTCCCTCACTCCCCAAGCCCGGGAAGGCAGAAAGGAGGCCCGGGTTGGTCTTGCCCCGCCATGGTAGTCATGACAAACGCTTCAGGGTCCTCAGAGGGGCTTCACCGGAAGTCCGCACTGAGGAAGCCAACTGAAAAGTCCCGAGATGGCCCGCTCAAATCCCTGCGTGACCAAAGAACTGTATTTTGGAGTAAAATGATTTTAAGGACCTCAGAGGTGGTGGCCGCAACCCCTTCCGGGAGCACTTCCGGGACGCCGCACTTTGACCCGGAAGTGGGTGGGAGAGGAAGTAGCTGGTGATGCTGGAACAAACATGGCAGTCCCGGTGCCCGTCAGCTGCTCGGGCCCCTACTGTCTGCGACTGCTATCACTGCTGGCGTTCCTGGAGCTGCTGGTCGACCCCGGCTTGGGCCGCGTCCACCACCTGGCGCTCAAAGTAAGGCCTGGCGGACTGGGGGCAGAGACAGGGGGTGGGGACCGGAGCGCGACAGCTGCTCCGGGGTGAGCCAACTTCGCCCTGCGGGTTCTCTAAGTTTGGTTCCGGACCTAGGGGTCTGCGCGACCCTGTCGCGACGGACTACGCGCTGCGGGTGCCTCGGGTAGTCTGGTCCCTGCAGCTTTGAGGTCTTGTGGAAGGGGCCTAGTGACTGTCTAAAGCCCCAAGGACCTGGGAGACCGCTCCTGCGATCTCTACTGCCTTCCCTGGAGTCCACGCCGGTGGTAACCTCCTTTCCCTGCTCACCCTTACACACAACTTTAATCCCAATTTCTCTTGTCCGCGGTATCCGCCCTACCGTGCGCCTGTACCTGGCGCTTTGAAGGTGTGCGGAATCTTTTTCCCTGCTTGCTTTAGGATGCTCGATTGACTGACCAAGGCGAGGATCCCTAAGAGGAATTCAAATCTCGCCGGAAATATATGCCTTGATTTCAAAAAGAAAGAAAGAAAGAAAGAAAGAAGGAAGGAAAGGAGGAACAAATCTCAGGATCCAAACTCAGCATTTAAAGTGCTTCTAAGTAGTGGGTCTTTTTCTTTCCTTCTCTATGGCCATTGTCTAAGGGATAGACCTGGAATGAACACTAGGAACCGCTACGGTAACCCACAGTTTAAGGTTCTCTAAGGCTTACACAGGGTTGTCAGCAGGTTAACGTATCTGGGGAACAGAAGATGACATCATTATGACTCAAAGCCTTGTACGTTTCCCTAATAGTGTTCCAAGAAGTTTGTGGACCTGGACACAGCTGTCTTGTAAAACACCTTGCGTTAGTTGTGAAGCATCAGTCTTGTGAATGTAGAGTTTGAAGAGCACAGACAGACTCTGGAATTGAAACCTGGCCAGATCCATACAGGCATACTTGCAATGCCAGCTTTTGTTTGTAGACACAAATGATCTGGAGTAAGGTGACTCTTAACCACAGGTCAGTCTTGACTCCTTTTGAAGATCCCACCGAGAGCTGTAGGAGTTCTGCCTAGAGAAGTGCTTGTTGACAGCCACACCACTTTCTTGGCCTTCCCGTGGCCTCATAGTTCTGGTGCATCTTCCCAGTAGTTCCCAACCGAGAGGTTAATAATCCGGAGCTAAGAACTCCTAACTTCTAATTCTCCCATTTCGAAGTTTACAGATTGTTTTTACTGAGTACTCAATGGAGCTGAGATCGTAAAGCTTAGGAATTAGAAAGAAAACTTGCAACAGAACACACTAGGACCATGTCTCCTGGTTCCCTGTCCAAGATTTCTAGTATTAAAATGCCAGTTGCCTGGTATCATCAGGTAAACACTGGCAGAATTTATATTGGCCAACCTTAGAGGCCATTATATACCAACCTGATAACCGCCTTAGTGGTAGAAGCAAACCTAGAGTAGTTCTGCAGTTGGTTTCTCTCTTGTGTCAACTTAGTGTAGCGCTGTCATTGATTCTCTCCTGTGCCAAGTGACTTGATGGTTCTTTCTTGTAACATCTTCCCTAAACTTATTCCATAGTTGGTACTAGAATTTTTTCTTAGTCTTAATTTATTGTCTAAGGAGATGGCATTTGCCCAGAGAAGGTCTATCTGAAAGGCTCAGGATGGTCTTGCTCTGCTTGAGATTGGGAAGCATAGACTTGATCAGATTAGAAACCCAGACTTGGAAGAACTTGATCACCAAATATCTGGAATATCAATTGATTTTTTTAAAAAAAGATTTGTTTTATTTTTCTTTATGTGTGTCTGTGTGTATGTGGAAGTGTGAGCAGGAGTAATAGGCAGTTGCAAGCTGCCCCACGTGGGTGCTAGGAATCAAACTTGGGTCCCCTGCAAGAGCCGTACATTCTCTTAACTGCTGAGCCATTTCTATGGCATTGATGCTTATAAAACATTTTAGTACCAACAATTTTAAATGCAGCAGAGTAGGTACAGTTGTATTATGAACTCCCATGTACCTGCCCACTTGGGCTGATGTTACTTCTCTCTTCTCAACTTTTTATAGTTTTCTAAATTAGAAAAGAATCTCTTCATTTTTAATTTACTCTCGGTATTTACCATCTCTCTTTTGTTTTCTTGGTCGTCTCAGAGCCCTTGTCTTTTGACCTTTCTGTATATTCCTTACTCTTCTTTTTTCTTGAGACAGGGTTTCTCTGCATAGCCCTGGCTGTCCTGGAATTGCTCTGTAGACCAGGCTGGCCCTGAACTGACAGATCCAACCTGCTGACTCTGCCTCCAAGTCCCGGGATTAAAGGCATGCACCTTCATGCCTGGCTTATTCCTTACTTTTAAAAATCAACTTTTTTGAGGTATAATTTCTGTACATAATAGTCACATGTTTAATTGTTAGGTCCCTGTGATTACTCATTATTTACTATAATTGTCACTACTACCCAGCTATAAGACATTTCTGTTGCTTTTCACAGATCTCTCTTTCTCCCTGTTTTTCTCCCATAAATCATTAGTGTTTATTTCCTGGAACCTAGGTATCAGTCTCTTGGTATAAAGGGCAAAGAATTTTTTTTTTTTTTGGTTTTTCGAGTCAGGGTTTCTCTGTAGCTTTGGAGCCTGTCCTGGAATTAGCCCTTGTAGACCAGGCTGGTCTCGAACTCACAGAGATTAGCCTGCCTCTGCCTCCTGAGTGCTGGGATTAAAGGCCTGCACCACCACCACCCAGCAAGGGCAAAGAATTTTAAGGTAGTTTTGAGTCAAATCCTTTCTCTACAATTGGATCTGTGAGGCTCCATGGGGCACTTAGAACTGCATGGGTCATCGTAACTAAACTTAAAACAGCTTTTAGTGCCAGGCGGTGGTGGCGCACGCCTTTAATCCCAGCACTCGGGAGCCAGAGGCAGGTGGATCTCTGTGAGTTCGAGACCAGCCTGGTCTACAGAGCTAGTTCCAGGACAGGCTCCAAAGCCATAGAGAAACCCTGTCTCGAAAAACAAGCAAACAAAATAAAAAATAAAAAACAAAAAAAAACCCAAAACAAAAACAAACAAACAAACAAAAAACAGCTTTTAAAACAAACCAAAACCAGATAAAGTGATTGTCAGCTCCCCCTTTTCTCCTGAAAAAAGTTATGTTCTAAAAAAATATGAAAGAGACTTTAAAAGACTAAGAAGATTTTTTTGACCAAGGCAACTGGCTAGAGGGACGATTGATGCGGGGACAGTCCCTGTCCGTGTGGCGATGGTGTACCTGGATACCACGGGGAGGTGGAAGGAGAGTGGAGCCTGAGGGTGTGGGAGAGGACTTTGCTGGCAGTCAGCCTGGCTGGCTTGGGATATGGGCTCGGAGAAGACACTGCTGGGTTGTGCCAAGGAGGGGACTTCCTAGCCTCTAGGACCAAGGCCAGACTCAATTGAGGTGTTGAAATCACTGCTCTCAGGCTGGTTGCTGGCTTCCTTGTTTGGGGTACTTCCCGATGCCTGTCCTTCTGCCCCTTTGCGGCCAGCTTGCCCATGTCTCCAGCTAGCTTCTGCACACTCCTGGTCTCTGAGTCATCCTGGATGTCAGGGACTGCATCCTGATGGCCTGTCGGTCACCCGAGATGAAGTCCAAGTAGGAGGACTCAACCTCCATCATGCCTGTCGTATCGATCCTCAGGCCTAGTTTAATTTCTTTTTTCTGCTTGCATCTTTTCAGATTTTTCACTCTTGATTAATTAATCAGTGTGAAGTCTGCTGCCACATCTATTTTGCTGACTTACGAATCCCTCTTTGCTCCATGCCCAGTCAGCGACCCTTCCACTTTGTGTTTTCATAGATTGCCCTTGCTAGGTGCTCCATGAAAAATGGAGTCACACAGCAGGGCTACTTTTGTCCCTGGCTTCTTAGACTTTTTAGATTCATCCACGCTGTGCCAGGGCTCAGTTTATCTTCTGTGTATTCATGCTGTGTGTGTATGTGTGCACTGAGATGTTTGTGTAGAAGTCAGCGGGCAGACTTTGTCCTTGTCTCCCATCTTGTATGAGGCAGGGATTTATTCACTCTTGTATCTGTCAGCTTAGTTTGCAAATTTCTGGGAATTCTCCTGTCTTCGCCTCTCATAGACACAAGCATGAGTGCTACCACACTCCCTTTGGGTGGGTCCATGGGATCCTGGTTAAGGTCCTTGTGCTTATATGGCAAGCATTTTCTTACACTGAGCTATCTCCTTAATCCAATCAGTAATTTGATGTTATTTATTGTTACACCACTCCACTCTGGGCTAAGTACAGCTGGTCTCTGTTTTCCTGCCTCCGTCTTCCCAGTGCTGGATTACAGGCATGTGCCCCATGCCCATCTCTGTACGAAGAACAGTCCTACCACCGTCATTCACATGCAAGTCTGTGACACTGCCTGTCCTTGTTTCTCTGGGTGACACCCAGGACTGGAGTGGAATTGCCAGGCTATCCTATATGGTAGGGTTGGGTTTAATTTTTAAGAAAGTGCTACACTACCTGTGTGTGGTGGCACACACCTTTAATCCCAGCACTCAGGAGGCAGAGGCAGGCAGATCTCTGAGTTCAAGGCCAGCCTGGTCTACAGAGTAAGTTCCCAGACAGCCAGGACTTTACAGAGAAACCCTGTCTCAAAAAACCAAAAACAAACAAACAAAAAAGGAAGAAGAAGAAAATGAAGCACCACACTCAATTTTCCAAGGTAGCTAGCTTGGTTTACATACTGTCAGCAACAAATGAGGGTCCCCATTTCCCACAGTTGGCAGCATTTGTCATTGTCATTCCTTATTTAGAGCAAATCAAAAGTATCCTGTTACCCATCTGTAAATACTAGTGCTTCCCTGGGAAGTGTGAGGTGCCCTTAGAAACACAACCCAGAAGCCATTAGAACAGAAATCCTTAAGAGCAAATCAAATCAGGTCCACATTTTCTCTGTTATTAAAAAGCTTCAGACTTTGACTCCTTTCCACTTGGGACTGTATACTCAGTGAACCAAGACTCTAAATATTAATCTGGGGGCAGGGGCTCTGTTG